GTGGCTTCCCATTTTGACCAATTTCCACTCCTTCCGTCCCTCCCTCCTGCCCTTCAATAAATAATTATGGCTCACATCTTACAGTCTTGTTCTAAAGATAGACCTTAAAAAGATGAATCCGTAAAATGCAATAATTGCTGTAACAGAAAGTGCTGTGGAAAGCATCTGTTTCAGACTAGATCTTTCTGAGGAAGTGATGTTTGGGATGAGAACTAAAGGATGAACTGGGAGCCAGCCACATAAAGAGTGGGAGCAAAAGCATTTCACTTAGAGGGCACTGTCTGTGCAAAGGCCTGAGAAATTTTGTTATGTTTTTATAGATGGTACCTCTTTTATGGTTCATAGTAGCAAAGATTTGGACTAAAACTCAGGCCTCCTGAGTTCTAGTCCCATGCTTTTTTGCTAGAAATTATGATAAAATAGAGTGGTATTTCTTTGTTTTAAAAAAAAAATGACTTCATTCTTTCGGCCAAGTGTCTTTTAAGGTACTTCATTCACCTCCCAGGAAGGAAGTGTTGCAGGTCATTTAAATAAATTAACAGTTTAGATCATTCATTTTGTGTATTAAGACTGGAGATTAAGTCCAGGGAGAGATGATAAAAACAAGTACAAAAAGTTAAATAATGACATGAAATGTTAAGTAACCATATTAAAGGTTTCTATAAAGCATTATATTATTTAATTTTATTCTTAATCCTTTGAGCAGTTCAGTAATCACTTACTGATTGCCTGCCATGTGCCAGGCACTAAGTTCTCAGGATACAAACACAAAGATGAGTAAGAGTCTGCTTTAAACTTATTTAGCATTTCGTTTTCTAACCTCATCCCTTGAGGTTCAAACCTAGATTACAAATTAACCAATACTGGTAACATTTTTATACTTCTCAAATGATTTTCATGTACATCTTCACGTGAGCCTCACATAACAACGAATTAGGGCAATGAAACTTCATTCAGTTCAGGGTGTGAGTGTGGAGCTTATTTAGTTAGTAGTAGTCATGGAATTTGAAATCACGTCCTGATTTCACATTTTCTGTTGGTTCCCTTACACCATTTCTACCTCCATGATCTCTCTCTTTTAAAAATTGAGATAGGATATAACATTTCATAAGTTTAAGGTGTAGGACGTGTTTATTTGATATATTTATGTATTTCAATACAACCTCTATGATCTCTCGACCCTTAATATCTGAACCACCAAAACAACTTATCGTTTCTCCAAACTTACTCTTTCTTGACTTTTCCCTCTCATCTTATCTGCTATTACCCTTCCATCACACTTCAGCCAGAGTAAATTTGCTGTCTTCTCAGGGGGCAAAACTCTTCTTTTTATGTCTTTGCCTTTAGGACCAAAAGTTTGGATTACAGCAATCTCTCAACCTTTGTTCCTCTTCCCTTTGTTCTTTAATAGATCAAATTCAGGGTTTTATACTAATTTGCCTTCCTTAATAAGCCAGAATGGATCATATATATAAAGAAGGGATTTTAGAGCTAGTTTCCCCCTCCAGCCCTAGAATTTCAAGAGATGTCAGTTCTCATGCAAATTCATACCCCCCTCCCATGAGTTAGTTTACTTAGTATTTTCTGTAACACCTGGATCATATTTAGTTAATGATAGTTAAACTGTTAGTTTGACTTGCTCAGACATATTTTCCTCCTTACTAGACCATGGTCCTTAAGTCTGTCTCTGGAGATTTTACAGAAGAGGACAATTATTGAAAGGTTTAATAATTTCCATGATACTCCTTTTTCTCCTTGCTCTCCTGGCTATGGGGATAAGTAGTTGCGTTCTTGCTGTTTTTGTTTGTCCCATACACCTCGTGCACTTGATTTTCCTCCTACTACTCCAGCTAAAGGACATGAAGCCAGAGTAGTTGTTTGTTTTCTATTTTCCATTTCTAGCAGTAATGGTAAGAAAACTCAGAGCAGGTAAAAATCACTATTTTAGTTAAATTTAAAATGATTGCCTTTGAGATAGAGTTTGAAGTAGAAGAATCTTCATCTGTTTTCATTTTAAAGGTAATAATTACTTGATACCTATTTTCACTAGTGTACATTGAAGCCTATTATGATAACAACAAATTTACATCAAGGTAATATAATGAAATTAATGAAAATTATTTTTTTATTTTGGATTACTTTTTTTCTTATACAAGTGAACCTAGTACTGAATTGGAACTGCACAAAGAGTGTTTTGAAGCACAGTAACCTAGGTGGAAACAAACATGCTGTATTTTGGTTTTGGTGTTTTTTTTGTTTGTTTGTCTGTTTGTTTGTATTTTTGCCTGCATTGGGTCTTCGTTGCTGCGTGCGGGCTTTCTCTAGCTGTGGCAAGTGGTGGCTACTCTTCATTGCAGTGCGCGCAGGCTTCTCATTGCGGTGGCTTCTCTTGTTGCAGAGCACAGGCTCTAGGCGCATGGGCTCAGGAGTTGCGGCGCACGGGCTCTAGGGCACACGGGCTTCAGTAGTTGTGGCGCATGGGCTTAGTTGCTCCGTGGCATGTGGCATCTTCCCGGATCAGGCATCAAACCCATGTCCCCTCCATTGGCAGGTGGATTCTTAACCACTGCGCCATCAGGGAAGTCCCTTTTTTTTTTTTTTATTACAGTAATTACTTTATCCTCACTGTCTATTAAATAGATTGTATGTAACAAAAACAGGAAAAATTAAGAGTTGAGTTCATTGTTTTAATTAAGCAGTAACTGGTTTTGTTTTAATTAAGCAGTAACTGGTTTTGGATAAGTTACATTTAGCATCCCAATTAAAATTCTATTCTTCTCCATGTTTTATTACATTTTTCATTTTTACTTTAAATTTGCAATGTTTAAAATTCAATAAGATGTTAAGAGATAAGCCAGAAATGTAGACTATTACAGAAGCCTAGGAGATTTAGTTAATCTGACCTAGATGTTGTTTTGATGATTGAGATTTATTTTTGAAAACAGTTCTCAATTTCAGAATGAAGCACACAGCTGCCGTATAAGTCAGTTGTCCTGCCAGTGACAGGCAGATTAATCAGCCACAAAAAGGAAGAGTTTGCCATAAAAGTTGTGCTAGTCAGATCATTGGCATTTGGATGAGACATAATATTGAAAGTTATAAGTGAATGTAGCTCTTGGATTTTGCCATGTTCTAAAGAGGATTATCTAGTATTTTTTCAAGGACTTTTTGTATACATTTGGTGTTGGCTTCATTTTCAATGTAATGCATGTGAAACAAAACAGATAATGTGAGAAAATCCTTGAGTAAAAATTGGGTACAAATGTAAATATTAATGATGTTTGAGAATATATATCAACAGTTAATTTATTCAACATTTATTTCGTGTATCGCAAAATGTGGGTACTTGCACAGTTAGAATGAGAACACTTATACAACTTCTTCTGTACCAATTTTTCTGTCATTCTACCAAAACTCTGAGATGTTAGTTCTTGTGTCAGTTTTTAATTTAACATTGTACAATACTATTTTTAAAAATTTATTTATTTAATTTATTTTTGACTGCATTGGGTCTTCGTTACTGTGCACAAGCTTTCTCTAGTTGCAGCGAGTGGGGGCTATTCTTCGTTGTGGTGTGCGGGCTTCTCATTGCGGTGGCTTCTCTTGTTGCGGAGCACGGGCTCTAGGTGCATAGGCTTCAGTAGTTATAGCACGCGGGCTCAGTAGTTGTGTGCGGGCTCTAGAGCGCAGCCTCAGTAGTTGTGGTGCACGGGCCTAGTTGCTCCGCGGCATGTGGGATCTTCCCGGACCAGGGCTCAAACCCATGTCCCGTGCCTTAGCAGGCGGATTCTTAACCACTGCACCACCAGGGAAGTCCCTACAATACTATTTTTAAGAAATAAAAAGTAATGAGGGGGCTTCCCTGGTGGCACAGTGGTTGAGAGTCCGCCTGCCGATGCAGGGGACACGGGTTCGTGCTCCAGTCCGGGAAGATCCCACATGCCGCGGAGCGGCTGGGCCCGTGAGCCATGGCCGCTGAGCCTGCGCGTCCGGAGCCCGTGCTCCGCAACAGGAGAGGCCACAACAGTGAGAGGCCCGCGTACCACACACACACACAAAAGTAATGAGGACTTATAAATAAGAGATCAGATGTGAGGGTTGCCTGGTGTCGTCCACAAAACTGAGTGGAGAAAGCAGTAAATGTACGTCCTCTGGACTGGAGCAGCCAGGGTAATGAGTATGTTGTTTTCTTATCATAATGCTGGGAAATGTAGTATTTAATAGGGAAGCCCTATTACAGATGATGAAAATACTGGAAGTAGAGTGACAGATCCTTGGAATTATATGTGAAGTGGTTTGTCTTTTATTTCAGTATCCAGAATTGTAAAGTAATTGTTTTGAAGCCAGAGTTATTGACTAAACCTTAGTAATTCCTAATTGAGGCTATAACACACATCTCAATTACTGAAATAAACTAAGACTATGAACTAATTTTAAGTACTTAGCTTGTTTTTAGTACTTAGCTCTTTAAACGTTTAGTTTTAGATACTAGGCAAATGTGTGGTAATCAATACTTTTATCACTGATTTTTACAAAGCATGTTTCTTTAAAAGCCATTGGTTTTATCATTGTGACAATTGTTAATAAGTCAACATAACATATTAATAGTTTTTGCTTCCTGAATCTATTGGGATCTCTGAAGTTGTGTGTGTGTGTTTAATTTGACATATTTTGGAGTTTTTTAGTCCATCATTTCAAGGTTTGTTTTTGAGCTACAGAAAGCTTAACCATTTTTAATAATTAAAGATTTATGGAATGAAAATTGACCTACAAAGTAACGTTTTGAAATAACCCGAATCTTCTAGACACTGGTTAAGTATAGGTTGTTCTAATCCTAAAGGTCTTTGATAACTGTGGGATTAAGTTGTAGGTTTCTTTTAGTATATACATTTGGCAGGGAGGAAGCAGGGTCATTAGAAGGAAAACTATTTGTCTTTGAGGGAAAATTAACATTTAGCTAAAGCCTTACCTGTGTGCTGTATGATTATTTTATTTTACAGACTCCAGGCATTAGAGCTCGGCCCACAAGACTTCAGTGGTTTTGTGATAGATGTATTGCAAGTAATCAGGTTTGTGTTTAATTTCTGGTCTCACTCACCTAAAACTGTGAGTAGAAAGCAAGTGTCCTACATGTCCTGTGAGCGTTTGGGGAGTTCAGATGATGCAGCATTGCTTATCTTGGTTGTTTTCCAAATAAGCAATAGCTTAATTCTGGTTTCTGAGGTCCAGTGGAATCCCTAAAAATTTTAACTTTGGCTCTGAAGATTTTAGCTTGCTTCATTCTACTTGTTGGTTTGAGCAAGCTAATGTTTCTTTGGCAATTTAAATCTGCTTCAGTCGTTAGTGACCAGAGGAGTCACTTGATGGGAGTCCATTGGAGTTTCTACTTTACCTCTACTCCAGCACAGATATCTGTTCACATCCTGCCAAGAAAAAGCCACAGGGAAAGAGGAGTTTAAAGTTTGGGTGGAGGAATATTCCTATGAACAAATATAGATATACTCACTGAGTCCTCCACCCTAAATATCTTTGAATTCTACAGAATACTCCTTTGTGGAGGTTCCCTCAACTAGATAATTATTCATGTGTGTTATTGACTCCAAAGTGTCCTTTAGCCCTTTAACTTAACATTTAAAAAAAATTATGATAAAATACATATAACATCAAGTTTATCATTTTAGCTATTTTTAAGTGTACAGTTTAGTGGCATTAAGTACATTTACGAAGTTGTGCTCAGTCCTTTAACTTTTGAAGTGAAGTTAATCTGCCCTTTGGGTAAAGTTAATTTGAAGGATTATTCAACTGTGATTTGTCAACTATAAAATGTCCTTTACACAATCTAGATCCATCTGTTAATCTTATTTTTAAGGTTGAAACTCTAGAGAAATTAGTGGAGCTGACACAGAAGCTATTTGAGTGTGATAGAGACCAGCTATACTACAGTCTGCTAAAACTATACAGTAAGTAAGCTGACTATTCCTCGTGTTTTCATTTTGAGACATTTATTCTATGGAAGGCAGTGGCCAGAAAGGAATATCAGGCTGTGAGGAAGCTCCAGGGGTTGTCAAATGTGGAGTCTTAAACAGAGGCTCACGTAGAGGCCAGATTGAATTTTCTCACAAAATGTTATATTGTATCACTAGACACCCTACAATCTTCATAATTTCTGACGTTCTTGCTGCAATAATGAGAAGGTGAGAAAAATCTTCATCAGAGCCACAGAATTTAATAGGAGTTTTTGAGGAGAGACTGTTCTTTGTTTTCTTTTAATTTAATTTCTGTAGTAGATTTATTAGTCACTTCTATGAATAAGTAATCATTGACATGTTCATGTATATAGATCTTTTTCCAGAAAAATGCATATTGATGTACAAACTCATTGCTGAACAATTACTTTTTAAAATGTGATTGTATTATAATATAGTTTTGACTCAGTTCTATATTAAAAATGTTTTTCTACATTTTTTCACCTACAAATGGCTACATTGAACAGATATACTAGAATTTACTTAGCCAGTCTCCTACTGCTAGACAAGTGAATAGATTTCAGTTTTCCATATTATAAAATAACACTGCATTAGTCATCTTTGCATCTAATCTTCGTTAACACCCTTAATTGTTTCCCTAGGCTGAATTTGTGTTTTTATTAAGGGTTAAAAGTGATGAACTTTTCTGAAACGTTTGACCTCTATTGTCAAACAGTACTTACTCTAGGACTGTGCAGTCTCTTAGGGTATTTGGGTAGAGAGGAACAATACTTAGAATAGTCAGTGACCTTTCTTCCTTCCTTTCCTTCCTTCTTTTTCTTCATAGATATTTGATCTAGATTTCTTCTTCTCTTTTTCTTTTGGGAAGTTTTCCTTCACCAAACACAGACAGCAATGAATAAGGTGATTTTATTTGTCTTTTTGAACTTGTGTTTATTGTCATTGGAAGCTTTGTCTTACATCTTGATGGTGTATGTAAAATAAGACTTGCTGTAAAATTTACATTTCATTTGTTGGTTGCATTGACATACCACAACGTAATTCTTAAAACTTTGGCTTGAATATGATCAGATTCTGGCACACAATGCTCAGGTTGTTGTTGAATGTATAGAATTTAAAAACTTAGGTTTTAGGTATTTAGTCCTTAATTAGTGGATTTGAGTGCTGATTCTCCCTCCTTCCCCTGCTTTTTCTTACTTTTGAAGAACTGTTTCTTGCTTAAATTCTAATTTTATGCAAACTAAAAAAAAAATACTAAACTTATATGTCCAGATGAATCTCAGCCTTTAAAATCATCCCCATAAGAAGACTATATAAACTTTCGTTCAGAAATACTCTGAAGCCCTTACTGTGCTACCCGTTGAGGTAGGCACTGCAGATAGAAAGGCAGTGCTCTTCAGAAGAGTTAGACCTGAACCAACACTGAGAATACCTTGGGGTGAAAGAACAGCTGTAAGGATGCATGAGGTACAGCGGTAGTCCAGGGAAGGATGAGAGGCAGCCAGCCTTACGGACTTCCTTCTCCTCTGCAGATGACCTTTTGCTGTTGCTTTTTTAAAAAGAAAGAAAAGAAAAAACAACTTTGAAGTTCATCTTAAAATTTCCTTTAGGGATAAGCAGGAACTCTTATAAATAAACTCTGAGGTTTATTACCCTTTTCTTTTCTTTAATCCCCTCTATCTGTTCTGATGGACACCCCGCTTCCAGCTCTGTATTTGAGCCAATAGTCTGAGGCGCTCTCCTCTCCTTAGCTGAGGAGCCTCTGAGGCTGAGGTAACATGAGGGTGGCCTCTCATGGAACTGGAAGCTGGAGGAATCATTATAGGGAAGTATACTTTTTAACCCAGTTTGTTTACTTCCCAACTTCTATACGGCTATAAATCAATAATGTGGTTGTGATAAGCCTGATCCTTCCCTTTCTGAAGAAAAAGCAAGGTTTCTCCTCCTGAGACCTGGCCCCCTCTGTGTTGCCCTCTGACTTGGACCACTACTTAAATATGTTAAATAAAGCACTGTGGACTCAATTTATTTGAAAAGGAACATACAGTATGGAATGACATATGAAATGTGGCCCTGTAACACATGAAAAAAATCCATGTTTTAGATTGTGGATTTCTGAGAAAATGATTTGTTTCACCTATTGGAATTTTTTATGAGCTCATTCTTTTTCATGATGTCATTTTCACCCTTGAAAGGAGTTCATTTAATTATTTGGGTTTATTTGTTAAAGAGCAGTTTTGCTTGTTTATTTTAAAACAGTACCTTTCACACAGGTATACACACTTATTTTGTTGTGAATTACAACATACTACAGAAACATGCACAAGACAAAGATACATTGCTCCATGGTTTATGACAGCAGCATCCATATGACTATAATCTAGATTAAGGAATAGCAAGTGTAACTCTTCATCCCTTTAAATACTAGCTGACCTAAACCTGTTTTCATTTTCTACTTGTTCCATATAATATGATGTTCATAGGTGGTCTGTTACAAGAATCAGCCGTAATTCAAACTTCAGTTCTATCCTTTCTAATACATTTTGACCTTTCATTGTGATAGTCTTGTAAAATTAGTTCCTAAACATTACATGAATGAAACAACTCCCTCACCTGCATATGTACTATTATTTCTAAATGGCAATACTATAAGGAATATTTTATTTCTAAATGACAGTATTTTCACCTTCTTAACCATTTTCTTATATTTGAAACACTTCAGTTTCTTTACATATACAAAGTAAAGATAGTTTATTCTTTGTATACATACAGTACTCTAGCCAAAACTAAAGCTGTCTTACATTCATAATTTTGTAATAAAAATTCTTTGAATCTGTTTTTAAAACCCCAACATTTAAAACCTGAGCATTTATCCTAAGAAGTTATTTATGTGCTATTTTCTTCAGGTACTTATGACCACTGACATTTCTTTTTACACTGTGTGGTCTTTCCCCCCCCCCAGTATTACACAAATACAACATGAATATATTCTAAATTACTGAAGATTCAAGCAGTACAGTAGTGTACAGAGCAAAATTTGGAAATGTCATTGTGCGTCCACACCTTAGAGTTCACTTGTCAGTGTCCATCCTTCCAATTAATTCTCTCTACATTTCTATCCATGTATTTTTTTTACATATACACCTATTATTTTGATTGTTTAATGCTCTACATGTTTCATGCTCTGTGTTCTGTGGCTTTTTAAAAATTATTATGAAATAAATTCACAGGAAAAGATATATACTTGCTTTTTCTCCTCTTTTTTCTTTTAATTAATTTATTTATTGATGACTGTGTTGGGTCTTTGCTGCGCGCGGGCTTTTCTCTAGTTGTGGCGAGCGGGGGCTACTCTTCGTTGCAGTGTGTGGGCTTCTCATTGCGGTGGCTCCTCTTGTTGTGGAGCACAGACTCTAGGCGCACGGGCTCTCTAGAGTGCAGGCTCAGTAGTTGTGGCGCACGGGCTTAGTTGCTCAGTGGCACGTGGGATCTTCCTGGACCAGGTCTCGAACCCGTGTCACCTGCATTGGCAGGCGGATTCTCAACCACTGCGCTACTGAGAAGCCCTGCCTTTTCTCCCTTTAATTACCAGCTTCAAGTGCTGGTGTCCCTGGAACCTCCTAAGTTGATCATTAAAATTTTTTTTAATGAGTTTATTAATTTTTTTTGTATATTTGTTTTTTAATTTGTCGCAGCCATTATTCTTTTGGGTGCTCAAATTGTCCCATCTTTGGCCACTGGGAACCCCGTCGCATCAGCTCCTGTGTCATTTGACACACCCCATTAGTTTGTTGTGTTTTTTTCCCTGAAATAACCTTTTTTTTTTTTTTTTTTTTTTTTGCGGTAGGCGGGCCTCTCACTGTTGTGGCCTCTCCCGTTGCGGAGCACAGGCTCCTGACACACAGGCTCAGCGGCCATGGCTCACAGGCCCAGCCGCTCCGCGGCATGTGGGATCTTCCTGGACTAGGGTACGAACCTGTGTCCCCTGCATCGGCAGGCGGACTCTTAACCACTGCGCCACCAGGGAAGCCTGAAATACCTTTTTTAAAAAAAAATTTTTTTAACATCTTTATTGGAGTATAATTGCTTTACTTTGTTGTGTTAGCTGTATAACAAAGTGAATCAGCTATACGTATACATATATCCCCATATCCCCTCCCTCTTGCGTCTCCCTCCCACCCTCCCTATCCCAACCCTTCTAGGTGGTCACAAAGCACAGAGCTGATCTCCCTGTGCTATGCAGCTGCTTCCCACTAGCTATCTATTTTACATCTGGTAGTGTATATATGTCACTGCCACTCTCTCACTTTGTCCCAGCTTACCCTTCCCCCTCCCCATCTCCTCAAGTCCATTCTCTACGTCTGCGTCTTTATTCCTGTCCTGCCCCTAGGTTCTTCAGAACCTTTTTTTTTTTTTTTTTTTTTAGATTCCATATATATCTGTTAGCATGCAGTATTTGTTTTTCTCTTTCTGATTTACTTCACTCTGTATGACCGACTCTAGGTCCATCCACCTCACTATAAATAACTCCATTTCGTTTCTTTTTATGGCTGAGTAATATTCCATTGTATATATGTGCCCCATCTTCTTTATCCATTCATCTGTCGATGGACATTTAAGTTCCTTCCATATCCTGGCTATTGTAAATAGTGCTGCAATGAACATTGTGGTGCATGACTCTTTTTGAATTATGGTTTTCTCAGGGTATAGGCCGAGTAGTGGGATTGCTGGGTCATAACCCCATTAGTCTTTGATAGGTCCTTATTTTCAGGCCAGACAAGACCATCCAGGCTTATGTGGCATAATTCCTGTCCCAAACCTGGAGTCCTTATTTTAGAGGGGAATGATATTTAGAGACCATTATCAGGTGATTGACACATGGGGAGTTTAGAAATTGCCCCATCCTATCAGTAATATGTAAAAGTTTATCAGCTTTGTAATTAAAATCCTGATCTCTAGAAATCTTCATCTCTTAGTTTAAATACCATAGAAACCCCATGTGAAGTGCCAGCTGTTGTTACACACTGGTCAGATAGCCATAAATGAAGCCCCATAACTATGTCTGTTCCTGTAAAATTCACTGATAGTGTCAAAAATCTTTGGTTTTATAGCTTAAGAGTTCTCAAATCATTTAGTAGTCAGCGCTCTTGTTCTTTAAAGAGGACACGGTGAGTTCCAGGAAAGTGATGGAATTATTGAGGGAGTGTCCATTCCCTGGTCACAGCCCAGGTTTGTGGCTGTTTGATTCTTCAAATAACAAGTATGATTGTTGTTGTCTTGGTTGAAGGAATTTTAAGCCCCAGAGGGATACTATGAAAGAAAGGCATGGCCCTTGTGTGCCTTCGTGAGAGCACGGCTGCAGATTTTGGCACTGACTAGTTTGATTGCCTCAAATTTTTGTTATGTATTCTGTGATCCAGGTACATTTCCAAGATTTTTTTTCAAAAAAAAAAAAAGTGTCTATATCTCAGTTGTTTTATGCTGTATGCACTGTCTAGTTCTCACCTGTATTTTGAAAAAATTTTCTTGTTACAAGCTGCTAGTCCATTTGAATAGGTGCATCTCTGTTATATCTTGTCCTCCCAAAGTTGAAGCTTTTCATATAGTTTGTGCTTTTTTAAAAAGAATTACCTTCCCAGAGTTCTTTCAGTCTGAAGGCAGAGTTGTACCTCATCCACCTCTTCACATAACATAATAGTTACGTTAGCTTAAAAATTAATCTCTTTAAAAAACACCTTAGCAGGGCTGTTCCCAGCGCTTGGAAATCTTCCCTGTGTCCCCACAGTCCATAGTACTCTTTGGCACAGAACAAAAGCGGTTCCCCTTTCCCCTTCTACAGAATTACAGATTTGGGGGCTTGGGTTTTTGTTTTTAATTTATTTAATCAAATAAACTAAAGTGTATTTGATAACCTTTATGTATAAAGTTTTATACATTAACGTACTTGAAAAATTACTCTTGAATTTTACATTACATGAGAACATTTTAATGAAAAGCATAATTATCTTATGAGAGTCTTGCTTTGAAAATTGATTGTAAATTTAATAAGGGTTTTATATTAGGCTGATTTTTATTGTCAAAGTATGTATAAAATCACTCTGAACTTTAGGTTAATTTCTACTGTTTGGGCCACCTTTCAGCATATTCCTTATGAAAGTTTGGGCTGCAATCTTTGTATGACCCCTGGGAAATTCTCTGCTTGTTATCTTTTTCTTTATTGCAGGTTTCTGATGGAGTGTGAATGTGTTTTGTTTTTGTTCTTTGAGTTTTTTACTTCCAGGAGTCAGTTATCAAAAAGCTTAGCTTTTCAGTTTTAGGGTGGGAGGGAAATCTAGGAAAATTCCATGTGTTTTAGTATTTTGGTATTTTTGAGAAACAAATCTACTCATGTTTTCTGGAACATTTGTGTCCTGAAACACACCCTCTTCCTGGAGCTGACCATATACCATTAAGATATTCCTTATTCATATTAGCAAATTTTTTTAAAAAGGCCACATTTAAAACAGTACTTCTTTGTGCCTAATAGGTATATTGAATTTATTGTCATAAGACATTTTTCATATTTTGCTCTAGTTTTTCACAAGCAGAAATGGCTTGATCTTTTCTTTTTTCAAAACCCGTTAGAATGTTTAAAAATAAGTTCTTGATTCTTAAGTCTTTGCTATTTGTGAAGACTAGGTTACCACATAGAAGGAACTAGATATTTCATTATGAAGGAAGCTGCCTATTTCTTTCCAGTAAACTTCCTGTGATCTTACTTAGTCTGAGGGCATTATCAGAAATCTATTACACACTGACATAGAAATTCTTCAAGTTGACAGAAGAGACAAAATTCTCCCTACTTAACTAAGGGAAAAAGGTTTGTTGATTTGTCACTTTTGACAAAAATCATACATTTGCACACTTTCAATCATTTTAGACCTTCAGCTGTGTACTGTACTGTATATGTGTATCCCATCGTCTTTCCAAAGTCTACTGGTCATAGTTGAATTGTTACCTGTTTCTGATTTTGATTTTAACAGTGGGCAATTTCTCAGTTACTTTAAAAAGGTAAACTTTGTATCAACATGATTTTCAAAGTTCTTAATAAAGTGTGGATTTTTTTTTCTATTTTTTAATAGGTAAGTAATTTCTATGGTTTAAAATTCAAAAGATACAAAAAGGTATACAGAAAGAAGTCTTCTTACCTTTGGTCCACAATCACCCTGGTCCTTTCCCTGGAGGCAATGTTTGGAATACTTCCTTCCGCATCAAATAAAAATAGTTCTAAATATTGTCATGAATTCTATTGAGTACGTTCATTGATTTCTGCTTATTTTTACAGAAGTGAATGGTGACTGGCAAAGAGCTGATGCTGTCTGGAATAAAATGCAAGAAGAAAATATTATTCCTCGTGGAAGGACATTAAGGTTATTAGCGGAAATCCTTAGGAACAGTAACCAAGAGGTTCCATTTGACGTACCTGAGGTAATTTGTTTTTAACTGTAAGCATAACAGATTTTGCTGTTTGTCTATAACTTTAGGTTATAGATTAGCCCAGCTTTACAATGAAAAGGTCACTGTTGTGTTTACCACTTTTTGTTTAATTGAATAATTTTATTTTTAAGTTGTGGTATGAGGATGAAAAACATTCCCTGACTTCATCACCCTCACCTGTAGAAGTTAGTCTCCAGAAAGAGCTATTGAATGCCTGCCACAGGAAGAAAGACAAAGGTAAACGTGTACACTGGGGTCTTCTTTCTGATAGCAACATGGGATCTAAGCCCAGCAAATCATTAGTGATCTCGGGTAGAGATGGAACTTAAATTGTATATATTAATTATTTTCTTTCATTTTTTAAGTTAACAAAGACATTTTGGGACAATTGGGAAAATTTAAATATCGACTGAGTAGTGGGTCATTAAGGAATCACTCATTTTATTAGATACGATAACAGCATTATGATTTATAGGAAAATGTCCTTAAATTTTGAGATCTATAATGAAGTATTGAGAAATGGGAAAAAAAATCAAGATTTCTGTAATTTATTTTAAAGTACTTAAGCCATAAAAAAATGGTTAAACAAATCTGGCAAAATGTTAATTATTAGGTGTAGGTGATGGGTACGTGGAGGGGGTTATTATACTATTCTTTATATTTTTCTGTACATTTGAAATTTTTCATAATAAAAACTAAAATAGTGCATTTTTCAAAAATTACACTTTGAAAATAGCATTATCATTAATTTTTTGGCAAGTGTATTTGTTACATATTTTTACGTGAAAGCAAAAAATGATTAGGGCATTAACCATCATACTAGTGGGTGTTAAGCTGTATCTCGAGGTTGAAGGCAGGACATGAGCCCTGTTTCTTGCGTTTCTTCCCTTTCTTCAGCGGTAAACTTACCTGAAGGTATGCCTACCTCTATTGTGACTACTTTAAAATTTCTTTGACCATCTTGAGCCCTCTGATACAAGCTTGCCTACCACATTCTAGATGTTTTCATTTAGACTTCGTTGTACTCTCCCCAGATCATATATTACTTTTGTTTCCTTCATTTTTGTTAATTTTTCTTCATAGAATGCTACTGTTACCTTTAACTCCTCCAGTTTTTGTGTACATTTTCAAGTATGCTTTATGATAATTTAACCATTATGCAGCAGATTTTCTTTTCATTTTAGTATTGACAGTTTTGAGCTCCCTTCAGTAGGAAGTCATCAATTTAGAAATTTATAGAACCTTTTAATTTCTTTTTTTTAATATTGTACTTTTAATTTAATTTAATTTATTTATTTATTTTTGACTGCGTTGGGTCTTCTCTGGTGCGCACTGGCTTTTCTCTAGTTGCGGCAAGCGGGGGCTACTCTTTGTTGTGGCGCGCGGGCTTCTCGTTGCGGTGGCTTCTCTTGTTGCAGAGCATGGGCTCTAGGTGTGTGAGCTTCAGTAGTTGTGGCTCGCCAGCTCTAGAGCGCAGGCTCAGTAGTTGTGGCACATGGGCTTAGTTACTCTGTGGCATATGGGATTTTCCTGGACCAGGGATCGAACCCGTGTCCCCTGCATTGGCAGGCAGATTCTTAACCACTGCGCCGCCAGGGAAGTCCGAACCCTTTAATTTCTTAACTAGAAATTTTGTGACACTGACATAAAGTGTCTGAAGGAGGAATTAAGTTAAGCTCTTAAGCTTGCTTAATACTGCAGAGTAACTTTATTCTTTCTGAGTCATTTTCCTTCGTTGCATATTCAGTCTATATATCCTTGAGTCTTTCACCATGTATCTCTTAAACCTAAATATAAAGTTCATTATTATCAATGCTATTTAAATATTCTAATGGAATTTTGATTTGATTGAAATGAATGTAAGGTTAGTATATACTTCCTGTTTAAAGATTCCAAAGCCCCATATATTGCCTTTTTTTAATTGTTGTTTTTATTTAAGTAAAAACATTTTAACCAGCTAACTAAATGTAATGCAGTGTATATTATAAATGTAAAGATATACCCCTATTCTAGTTTTTTTTTAATTTTTTAAAAAAATAAATTTATTTATTTAATTTATTTTTTTTGGCTGTGTTGGGTCTTCATTGCTGCGCGCTGGTTTTATTTGCGGCGAGCGGGGGCTACTCTTTGTCGCGGTGCACAGGCTTCTCATTGCAGTGGCTTCTCTTGTTGCAAGAGCATGGGCTCTAGGCACGCGGGCTTCAGTAGTTGTGGCTCGTGGGCTCTAGAGCGCAGGCTCAGTAGTGGTGCACAGGCTTAGTTGCTCTGTGGCATGTGGGATCTTCCTGGAACAGGGCTCGAACCCATGTCCCGTGCCTTGGCAGGCGGATTGTTAACCACTGTGCCACCAGGGAAGTCCCCTCTTCTAGTTTCAATATACAATTTACATTTATCTAGTTGGTTTCATTCTGTTAATTCTGCAGAGGTTTGAGTTACTTTTGTGTATATCTCAGAATTGAATGCTTGGCAAAATATGAATACTTTGAAAATTGAATTCAAGACTACAGTTTTAGAAAACCACTAGTAAGCTTTTCTAGATTATTTTGTTACCTTAAATATTCAAATTGTACTTACTGTGTATTTTCATTCAGCAAAGTAGTGAACTATTATATACGCTTGTTGGGATGTAGCCAATAGTTGCAGTACATCATAACTTCTAAGCTCTATTAAAAGGAAAATATATGCATTATGTACTGAATGATAGATTCTATCTTTTCTTAGTTAACATACAAATATTAAGATCATAACCTTTTTCTCTTGTTTTCTCTGAATTTAGCTTGAAAGTTAACTAAGTTTTTGATATTGTCACTTCAGTTTAATTGAAGGGCTAATTCAAACTCCCCTAACTTGTAATGTAAACACAAGCATAATTTCTGCTTGTTTAGAAACCTCCAAAGTAGCTCAGAATGTTCTTCTGAGCGTTAATATCATGTTCATTCCTATTTGTGTGTTCTGTATTTCTTTACATGGAGCTTTATATCCATAAAAGTTCTTATGTGATAGTTCAGTTATGCCCCATCTTTATTGTGATGTGTTTATACACACCAGAGTGTGGATTGTAGTTTCAGTTGGATGTTTATAGCCAGGCAATTTTATTTCAGAAAAGTAAGTGACTGAAAAGTGTAGTTACTTCTCTTTTGGTAACATCTTTTCATTCACTGACAGTTATTGTGAACAAGTGAAATAAAACTGTTAATCAGTCAAACAAATGTTGCTTAGTTTACTTGTTAGATATCTGTATATTTGAAAATTGTATGTTTTTGTATAAGTCCTGTCGTAGCCAAATAATTTGATCTCCTAATTTTAGCATTACAGGCTATACTCACTGTAATGCTGTTGTGTTGGAATCTTAACCGCAGGAACCACCCACTTACAGATTCAAGATCGCTTTAAAGTGAATCTTTTGCTCCCCTCAATCTAAATTATACCCCTGGTTTATTTGGACTTTAACACACATTTTGCAATTTATTTTGAAACTGGAAACTGGGATCATCTTTTGATAAACAAATTCAGAAGAGCTCTTTTTCGTTTTTATTGGCATGAAAATAATTTATTGACTTTAGAGAGCTAGTATGAAAAATAATTTTAAAACGAAGCCCTTTCTGGTACCATCCATTTGGATTAAGTAGTAGTTTTCATAACTGTCACTTTGTTTTTTAAAGATTAGAAGAGTGATAACATCTGCTTGCTTGGTCAGTGTGTGTGTGTCTCTGTAGAGTGGTATAGTGAGTGAGTATTAAAAGAAGCAGAAATATGGGGGTTTCGGGCTTTGTTTTAGGGCTTTTCCCCCTCCTTTTTTGCCATTTCAGAATAATGTCATCTCATTTTTTGTTGTTTTTTTCCTTCATAGATGCATTTAATATTTTCCTGAAAGCAAAAAAGCAAAACGTTGTGTTCAATAGTGAAACTTATGCCAGTCTTATAAACTTACTGTTGATGAAGGATAATCCTACACAAGCAGTGCAAGTGAAAGATTTGTAAGTATTAGTTCATCTATTAAACCTCACACTTAAAAACAAATATCAACTATCATTAGGATTTTTCTGATATATTGTAGTAGCAGTTGCTTAATTGTCTTCAACTAGTCACAAAAATTATATGAAATGTTTTTCTAATTTTATGGGGGTTTTTAACCTACAAAAAATATAACTTTTATTAGCCCTGCACACTGCAGTATATTTTATTTTACCTTATGTAACGTCACAACTCATGTATTCTATTCATATATAGAAAAGTAGTTTTTTAAATCATATTCTGTTTCTTGTTCAGCAACTCGATCTGTGTACCTTTTATGGTGGAAGCAGCCTGATACATGAAGACATCAAGGGCTTTGAACTTAGGCAAGGGTTTGAATCTTACTTGAAAGCTCGTGGGAAAATTTCCTCCTATCTCTGAGCCTCAGTTTTTCTTCTGTATAATGAGTAGATGATAATAAGTCTTACATTAATGATTTCTTCTAGCTATTGAAGGAGATAGAGTGAAGTAGAGAAAATATATGGTACTCAACACATTTTAAATACCTTTTCTCTTTCCCCTTCTTGTTTTGTAATCTGTTTAGTGGTATTGGTGTTAGTGGTGGTAGTGGTTTTGTCTCTGGCTAGTTCCCTAAAGTAAAATACTTTGTTAATCAGAACGAGAATACAGTTTTCTTCCCTGGTGTTGTGTCAGTTAACTGACTCTGTTGTCTTATCCCCAAGGAGTTACCTTCAAAGTTAAGTAATTAATCAGAAAAGGCCTAGAAAGGAGAAGATCAAGGTCACCTGCTCTGGAAGGTACACCTGTCCTGTTGATGAGTCAATAGCTTTATTTTCAATGGCAAAGGTCAACCTTTTCCTAGTATATTGTAAGTTTTGAAATAATCTCTCCTGGCTAACTTTTGGCCTTCAAAATTTTTAAGTCGCAGCACTTTTGGAATATTAGAATCCTGAATAGAAAATGGATGTTTGCCATTCTTGGAATTCACTGGAAAACCTGGCATTAATATTAGTGTTATGTTAAAGTTATGCACCATAGGGCCGTGTTTACTGTTTATGTTTCAGTACATTTTGAAAAATACGTTGTGTATGACTGTACTTGTCTGTGGAAATATATCTGTATCTATTGACGTATACACACACACACAGTATATATAATTCATATATATACATATAAGTACTATATATGTATGGATACACACATATACCATATATATCTATGGTCTTGAATCACTTCTATGTCTTGATATAGGACGGTCACACTGAGACTTTTAAGTTCAGGTTTTTAATGCATTGTGTCTCATTTGTGTTTTTACTCAGTTGCTAATTAAATTATCTCTCTCTGGAATACTCAGTACATCCTCAATTAGTGACTTGGAAAATGTGACATTGAACAGCATCCTGTCATCTATAACCATTGAAGTCATCCAGGAGGTGCAGGTTTTTTCCTACAGTTACTTTTCTTGGAAAATTATTATCTAAACACTGTCCACAATTATCAAAGGTGTTTTGAAACAACAGTGATTTGGGAGGAAAGGGTGGCAGAAAAAAGAAAGGAACATTTTGTGTTGAGAATTGGGTATGATTAACTGAGGAGATGGAAGCAAAGAAGGAAATCTTTTTCAAGTCTTTTAGTCCTGAGGTTGGTCACAGAGACCTCTGAAATACTTCCCAAAAGTACAAATTATAATTCTTTCATTTTAATTGGGCTTGTTCTAGAATGGTGAGCCTCACATTCTGGTAGCATAAACAGATAACCACCACCCACCCCAAAGGTTCTGACTCACCTGATCTGGTGTGGGGCCCAGGGATCTGCATTTTACTAAACACCCCAGGTGAGTCAAGGATCACGTCTTAAACATTTTGATCACATTACCATTATCAGTGAGCTGTACTACTGTAAGTATATGATATGTAAGTATATTATAGAGCATACTCCAAAAATAGCAGTTTTTTGGAGAATAAGATTTAAAAATGGAAACTTAAACATTTTCTTGTCTCACCCTAGAGCATTCACACAGTGTGCATACCTCTTGCTGGAGACCCCTGATCTAGAGTAGTTTTTCAAATTGCATTTATAACCTGTTAGTGGATCATGGACTCTCTTTAGTGGGGCAGAATCAACATCTTTTTTAGTTAAATAGAATAGAAAATATCAAAGCATTCCATGTAGTAGAGATATTTTGTGAACATTTGCTTTCAGTTATATGTGCATCTGTATATCAGTGCACTGGTATGTACCATAAAACATCGTTTCTTACTATGTCTGACTGAGAATCTTGATCAAACAAGTGTGAAAGCTGTTGACCTAGAAGATGGTTATAAGCACAGCCCTTCTATTTACACTTATGTCCACAACCTGTAAAATGTAGGTTTATCTTCTTTTCTTCCCTCCCTCTCTAGATGTTCATGAAACCTTTCTGTACTCCTGAGGTTACTTTTATCTTCCCCTGTGTTATCTTCCAGGAGTATTTTGTAGCTGCCTTCCCCATGTAGTTGTGTGGGCCCAAAGAGATTCCTAGATTCCAAGCTTTAGAATGCCCAGAGGCACTTAATCTGGGGATCTGTGCACATCCTTTTCTTTGAACCAATAAAACGTTATATCTGACTATGAAGAATCGTATCTTGGGTTAGATCTACATTGAGTACTTTTGAAAATAACTCTGGACTGGGAATTCAGAAGCGGAAGTTAGAGTTCCAATTCTCTGTTACTGGAGGAATGTCGTATAACTTCTCTGGATTTGTTTCCTGGTTCCAGCGTTGCCAGTGTTCCACTAGGTCATCTCTTCCCCTTCTGGCTCTGCATCAGTGATCAGAATGAAAAATAATTGTTGCTTTTTTTTTTTAGAGGCATCTTTATTGTAACATGGTGTGACCAAATGAGCTACTGTAGCAAGTGGTGGTACCCCCAGTATTACTCTGGCACTACTACTCTATTATTACGCTATAAATATACTCTATAAATAGCAGTCTGTTACACTTACCTACATGATGCCACCTGTTCATTCTTAAGAGCAGTTGTTTTCTCTGTGAACTAATGCAGTCTTTGTTTTTGCTGTACCTTTGCTGTCTCTAATGTATTGCGGATTCACATGACTACTAGTGAGATTTCTGCAGCTTAAGGTTACTTAACCTTCCCAACAAGTAATGGAACCTCAAAAGTAACAGATGCCTTTAAAATTTTTGAAAGAAAAAAAGAATGACTTTCTTTCATTTTTAGTTAGAATTCAACATTTCCTTGTGTTTCAAAATAAAAATTTAGGTATAATGAATTCTTTCAATGGAGGGGAACTGCTTATTCATAGAGCAGTAATGGTTATGAATTGTTATTTTAAATCTCTGTTAACACTGAACTCTATTCTTAGGAAATTTGAGAATCATGTGGTGATTAGCTCTGCTTTATCTTTCAAGAATAGCACTTCATTTTCTCTTGTTCCTACTAGCTTCTTATTTTATTCTGTCTAAAAATAATGCTAAATTAATAACTGATGGTTTTTACTGGATTGGCCAGTTTTTGTTTTCCAAAGTAAGATAAATTCTAATCACTGCCTAATGTCCTATGTACGTGTTATATAAGTACAATCCATAGACCAATCAGAGCTCTGAAATCTCTAATATGAACCTTTCCATGTGATACTATCTTCTTTGGTTAAGACAGAGTAATTTTTGCAGTTGATTGTAAGTTAAAAGATTGATACCCTTTCACTCTGCAATTTTTTTTTTCCTTTATTTTAGCAGTTCTAAAAAAGAAAAGAAAATGTCTGGAATTCTGTGCTGTCCAGTCCAGTAGCCACTAGCCATAAGTGCCCACTTAAATTTAAATTACTAAAATTAAATATAATTAAGGTTTCCATTCCTCCATCACAGTAGCCAGGTAGCCACATGTCGCTGGTGGCTACCCTATTGGACAGCATGGGTAAAGAATATTCTCATTATCACAAGGAAGTTTGATTTGACATCTCTGTACTAGATTTTTTTCCAAAAGGAAAGATCAAAATTATGATTCAGAAGTAAACTGCTCTTATTTTATTGTATGAATGAGTACACTGCAGAATCACCAGTACCTTCTGTAGTTTTTCTCCCTTTGCCAGTTTGGAATATATTTTGGTTGTGATTGGTCAGTTTCTACATGTGTAATATATGTTCAGCATTAATAGAACTGGGGAGAGTTTTCTTCCTATTTATCCTCACTTTCAAATATATATTGAATACACACCTTGAGATAGCAAGAGATTATTAAAAGAAGAATGTTCTGTGTTTTGAGATTTTCAAAAGGTTTGACAATCAAGTGTGATGTCAGAAGTTTTGTTACCTTATGGTTTTAATGAATTTTAGGTAATATTTTCAAGTAAATATGGTATAATACATGTAATAATGTTGGCATAAGAAATGAGCTTAATTTTAATAGTGTCTGCTTGTTTATTTAATCATGCTAAAGATTGAGAAAGTAAATCCTTTATTTTCTGCAGTTTATAGTCTCACGTATGAGTTTTTGACTTAAGAGCTTTGACAGATGGGATAAAGGAAAAAAGTCAAACTGAGCAGTGGGTGCTTTGGTGGGATTAAGAGGATCGTTGGGGGGATAAAACAATCCTTCCCCCAGGAACAGTAGGGGGGGAACCTCAGAGGCTGAAAGTGACTGAGAGGATGGGCACATCATGGTGTCTTTGGAGGATTTTCTTGGGATTGACGAGAGTAATTTAGCAGTGACCCTGCTTTTCTCGCAATCTGCTCAGCTTAGATGTTCATGTCGGTAGGCCGAGGTTGTTGGCAGCAAGATCATCACTGAGCTTGATAAGGCAAATGGCAGCAATTGCTTTTGCTCCTTTTGACCTGTGGAGATTTCCTAATTGGGAGATAAAGCCTAGGGGCATTAAGGATGCTGAAATTTCATCACAGGAGATATGCAAACAATGTAGCAAACAAATCATCTCTGGCTAGGGTTCTTCTTCTTTCTTTCTTTTTTTTAAATTATGTAGGTTTTAGTCATAAGAAAAGTGAGTTTTTGCTCTTGAGTTTTAAAAAGTTGGGGGGGTTTGGGCTTCGCTGGTAGCGCAGTGGTTGAGAGTCCGCCTGCCGATGCAGGGGACACGGGTTCGTGCCCCGGTCCGGGAAGATCCCACATGCCGTAGAGCAGCTGGGCCCGTGAGCCATGGCTGCTGAGCCTGCGCGTCCGGAGCCTGTGGTCCGCTACCGGAGAGGCCACAATAGTGAGAGGCCCGCGTACCGGGGAAAAAAAAAAAAAGTTGGGTTTCAAATTTAAGGCTGGGACAAGATTGTGTGAAATTTTACATTTTAATGTAGCAGTGGTTTTAGTTCTGCAGTATGTTCACCTTTAAAAATTGTATGTATCTAGATGACAGAAATTTGAAAATTAATCAGCCAAATGATATGGTGTTACTAATATGCTTTAGTTTATATTTAAAATATAAAGTGCTGAAAATAAATGCTCATTTTTGTTGCCGAAAGAATAGTTTTACATTTTATAATTATGGTGAGTGTAGAAAAAAGAGGAAAAAGTATCCAGCTTAGGATACAACAGAACAATGCAGGGCATGCAGTTATTTTAGTCATCTAATATGTCAGCATTCAAGAATCTGAACCGATTGTTTAAAAAAAATCTTGTACTTTGTTTCTTTTGTTGCTCATTTCCAACTTTGTCATCTGTCAGAATGCAAAAAAAAATTATCCTTCTATAACCATTGACAGGATAACACAAAAGCTGTCTCCAGGTCGATATTTTGCAGCAATATTTTTAACATATGAACAGTAGTTTTTATAATTTCACCTTGGTGCTCAACCATTTATTATCGTATCAGAAGCATGTCAGTAATTCCTTTCTAAATGTCTGCTTCTTTTAGCGCTGAGACCCACATCAAGGGCTTCACACTGAACGATGCTGCCAACAGCCGCCTCATCATAACGCAAGTTAGGCGGGATTATTTGAAAGGTATGTCACAATGCTTGACCTTTACGTCACATTAATGCCTCTGCAGATTTTTCTTGTAACGCCCTTCGAATACTTGGATAAAGGAGTCCATTTAGCAAATTACCTGCTTATCAAGAGCCTTTTGTGGTAGCTGAGAGACATAAATTACTGTACATGCATTTATAATACAGCTTGAATATGAATGTACTTGTCATTTGACCACTTAGTCCAGTTTCCATTCCATTTAACACAAGATGGGTTTTCTTAAGATGAATCACAGCTCTTCAGACATGCAAAATTTGTGTTGCAGAAGGAGAGAAAGTACAGGCTTTCAAGTGCGTTAAAATTCACAGCACAAGTCATTTTGCTCTGGAAATTAACATACTTTAGAGCATCTGAAACAATTCCCAGCAGTTGTTTCTTGCATATTGTGTTGGTTGTATGTGAGTTAGCAAATGAGTTAAATTGAGTGTTAAATGTGTGGGATTGTGCACCAAGTGATTATAATATTGATTTTTAAAACTTAATCTAATACTTCTTTAATAGTTCGTAATACCAACAGCAGTAAGATACAGTGTTTGTTTGGAGTTTCGAGTTTCGAGCTTTTGAATTAAGAGGATAACATCAGAAAAATGTGGAGATGACTTTGGGGAGGGTTGGGATGAGGCCATTTGTTTGGTAGAGGCTGTTTATGGGTTTGCAGAGGAATGGATTTGGATCGGATAGTCTTATGAATGAGCTCCCAAGGGGAAAAATGATGAATCTCTTAAATTTAGATAAGCATCTTTTCACATTTAATTTTACATTTGAATTTTAGTTGATACAGTAACACCATGGTTTTGCCGATACAACAACAGACACTTAGGAACTCTTTAAGGAAGGTTGAAACAGCTCTTTAACCGTTAAATATGTTGCCTAGTTTTTTCCTCACTCTGTATATACTCCTCACTTGCATGCTTATAAAATAATATCACATCTCTGAAAGTTGCTGTCTAATTGTGCGGCTTTAATGTTGCCTGTAATGCCTAGAGGTATTGGTCTTTGGATGTCTTCCTAACTGGTTAAGACTGAGTATGTAAGTGATCATTTCTGCCTATGCGGAATTGCTGCCTCAGTATTCTGCAAGGCAGGACCAGCCTGTTAGAGACAGCTTCAGTCATAATTGAGTGTTGTAGGGCTTGCTATTAAAACTTTAAAAGCTTTCATTTCCTTTGCAATAGAAGAGGCTTTTTGGCAAGTAGATATTTAAAAACAGTTTTTTTCTACTTTTTGAAATTTTATTTTTTGGCCACGACACGCAGCATGTGGGATCTTAGTTCCCTGACCAGGGATCGAACCTGCGCCCCCTGCAGTGGAAGTGCAGAGTCTTAACCATTGGACCTCCAAGGAAGTCCCTGATAAACAATTTTAAAACATTGAAAAATTAAACTTGCTCCCATATAAATAAGTTCATTTTTATAAATGACATTTTGTAGACATGGAGATCAGAATAAAACACTTTTTTAATTTCAAGGAGTTAATTTTTGAGCTGAATCTAATCAGTGTTTAACTTGACTGGTATCCCACTTGTATGTTAGGTACCCTGTGAAGACAACAAGAAACTATGATGTAATTTCACATCTGTTTTCAGCTGTTCACCTGGAGGTTGGTTGAGAGTAGAAGCTATGAACCCACCTCCCAGTGCCTCGCCACGGACTAACCTACTGTGGTCATTGTCAAGGACGGGAATGCTGTTGGCACTATCCGCATCTCCTTATTTTGTTCCATGGCTGACTAGAGCTCCCAATTAAAAAAAAAAAATTCAGGTTGCTTTTTCTCAATTCCATCTAAAGCAGGAAGAAAAATAAAGCCAGTTCAAATGCTGTTCTGGAATATTAATAGCTGATACATCACACTGTTGCAGTATAATCAATATTACTAGTAAATTAGGTGACAGTGTGATAAGGACTCGGGGAGGGGTGTGGATGGATACTGCTTTTGGTGTCCCAAAGCAGTAAATCATGAACTGTCCAGAAGTCCAGCCCTGTATGGGAATATGATTTCGGTTCCAAGGTCCCATGCTCCCTTTGGATAGACATAAAGTGATCTCTTCTCCTCTATCCTCCACTCTTTCACACACACATGCACCCATAGATGCAGGCTCTGGGGTGGTTAGATTCTTGGGTTGGTGTCTTAACAGTATGACCTTGGGGAAATTATTTAAATTATCTGTGCCTCAGTTTCCCACATATAAATTTGTTACTTACCTCAGAGGGTAGTTGTGAGTGTGACTGCTTAATACTGTGTCTGGCATGTAGTAAGTGCTCAACAAATGTAGTAAAAGCTCAGTAAATGCGCGTTACTATCATCACCATTGTTATCTTATTTTTGTTGCTATTTGATCGTGGGAAGATCCTCCTGGCTGACAATATTCTTGGCTAATAAAAATATTCCATATTATCTGTGTATGACCACCAGTTAAGATTTTATCAAGTTTATTTTCTATAGATAATATTATTAAAGTAGTATAAATAACATTTTTTGTTTCCTGTATGTTCGTGTGTATTTATAAAATTTTATTGAATATGCCTTCTAAACTGCCTATTTTCCCTTTTCCCCATTTGAGAATCACTGGTTTAGAATGTAGATTTGGAGTAATAATAAATTGTTTATTCAGTAATAAATACTTAAATTCATGATGTCTTTTACTGTATCACTTTTAATAGAGTGTTTATTACCCTTTCCCCATTCTTCTGTTAAAGATAGACTGTTATTTGGAAAGCTGCTTTGAGGGTCTTAGTTCTGTGTAGGTTACACTGCTTTAATTTCTATAGAGCCATGAAGTTTTCTTTGGTAGCAGTGATTGTTGTGCTAAGTATTGCAATTTCCCTGCAGTCCATCATTTTATTTAATATAATGATTTTGCTACCCTGGCACTTAAATCAGTAAATCAGAAGGATATTCCATATATATCCATAATCACATACTTGTAAGTATGATACTTTAAAAAAAAAAAAAAAAAGAAAGAAACTCCTGAGGGGTTTCTCCCTGGGAATCTGGTGAGCTTTATTTTTTCCGAAAAATCAGTGTAAGAAAATATCTGCAAGATATGTAATCGTGTAAAATAAATTTGTTAGTCTGTAAGTTGAGTGTTCCAGTTTGGCTGCTCTTCTTGTATGATCAGTCCTTTTTGGATTAGAAGGCGACATTGTTTTCAAGAAAGAATCTTTGCGGTATTAGAAGATTTTGATAATCATGAATCTTTTGAGTGTAGTAAAATCTGGGAAGGTATGAATGTGGGTAGAGGTTACATATTTTTGGAAGGCCTTTAATTTTTAAAATTTTTCCTTATTTATATTTCTCTGAACTTGTCAACTTCTTTGAAATTAGTCACTAAATGTTATCCCTGAATGGAATCCACATTCTGTCAGTAACATCTGCATTTTCTCTGTAACTTAAAGAAGAAATTTCTCTGGTCTCTGATATCTTACAGTCAAATAAATCTTTATTTTTTTTTTAGGTTTCTCATAAAGTATTAATATTTTCTGTAATATAGAATAAATTATTCATAGCTTTTTGTGTATAGTCATTTTGTGCTCATATTTAAAAGCTAGTTTTCAAAACACATTAAAGTCAGTACGGTTCATATAAAAAAAGCTCTGTCACCTGCTCTTCTATTGTAGACGCTCTAACAACACTAAAAACAGCCTTGGATCTGGAGCAGATACCTTCTAGGATAGCAGTGACCCGCCTTATTCAGGCATGTGCCTTGAAGGGTGATACAGAAAGCATACAAGACATTCAGAAGTTGGTAAATGGACTCGAAGATTCAATTGGACTTTCCCATATGGTTTTCATCAATAACATTGCTTTGGCACAAATAAAGAAGTGAGTATTTTCGAGCTTTCTTTTTCTCCATTGGATACTGGAAGGAACGTTATCTCAAATCCCACCTTTTGTAAAACTAGGGTATTAGAAGCCGTATCAACTACAGAGGAAGTATCGATGCCAGTTGCTGATTATTCTGTAGCTATCAGGGAATAATTATATGTTAACAAAATATGTTTTAGCTTTAAATTAAATCTTAAATCAACATTTATCAAAATTTGCAAATTCATAAAACTTGCTTCACGGTTGGTAACTTTTCTCATTCATACATTCCAGGCCCTTATTGAAACACTTGGTTGCAAAAGTGAAAAATAAGTTCATTTGAATGTTAGCAACACTTGAAGGTGACACTCTACCAGTACATAGTGAAATGGAAGGCCTAGCAAGCTTGTTAAAAATACACGTTTCCATCTTCTCCTACCCATCCACCTGTGTCAACACACATCCACACAAAGGGAGGTATTTAGAGATGATTCTCATACCACCATTTCTAGATTCCTTGTTGAGGATCACTACTGTAGAAGTAAATAAGAACTTGATTTTTATTAACCTCACTAGCAAAGTTAAAGATTCATGGGGGTAATAATGGAATTGACATTTTTCATGCTTTTAGGAAAAAATGTTCTTTAGCAGTTAATCCTACATACATTTAATGGGTTGTGATACGAAAATGTCATGTTGGTTTTTACAGGGCTTTTTGTTCCTCTTTCTTTGGGCAGAGAAGAGGTTTTGTTTTGTTTTTCACCCTTTTAAAACTATTTCCCCAAATAGAACTTTAAATTTTTCCTTTAATAAGAAAATGTGATTATTTTAAGTTAGAAGATCCAAAAAATTATCCAAGTCTTTGTTGCTGCACACGGGCTTTCTCTAGTGTGGCAAGCAGGGGCTACTTAGTTGCGGTGCGCAGGCTTCTCATTGCGGTGGCTTCTCTTGTTGCAGAGCATGGGCTCTAGGCGCACGGGCTTCAGTAGTTGTGGCACGCGGGCTTCAGTAGTTGTGGCTCACAGGCTGTAGAGCACAGGCTTAGTAGTTGTGGCGAACGGGCTTAGTTGCTCGGCGGCATGTGGGATCTTCCCGGCCCAGGGCTCGAACCCATGTCCCCTGCATTGGCAGGCAGATTCTTAACCACTGCGCCACCAGGAAGCCCCTGGATGAAATTTTAAATGTTACCATATAAACAGAGTTTTATATGAGGCTGAGAATATGTTTTTATTCACTATTAAATAATTCTCTAACTAAAACCCATAAGAAAACTTTATTGTAATGGTGTACTCATTTTTAGAGAATTCTTGTTTCAGGTAATAATTCCAACATAAAATTGATTATTTGGATTTCGAGTGCCATATCATAACTGTAAAGTATCAATTAAAGAGCATCTTAACCAAAAAGATAGTCATAAAGATAATTTTTTATCATAACTTGCTACATAAGGCCATGTAATTAATTTTTTAAAATAAAAAGTGTGAAGATACTTTTTTCTGAGAATTTTAGTATAAATTGAATATTTTTCAAATGTTATGTATTACCTGACAAAAACAAATTGTAGTGACTGTGGGTTGAGAGACATGAAAATATACCTTTTGAAGACATCATCAGCATTTTTAAGAATCCTAAGATATAATACATTATCTTTACTTCATGCACTAGTGACCAGTTGCAGATTATAATGCCAGAGTTATATAGCATTTAAACAAGTTTTCATTTTACATTCCAAACAGCTGCAGAATCAAGTCTTTGAGATACAATAATTTTTTAAGTTATTGTCTTTAATTCTTCTCTATATAGTTGTTTGATCTTGTCTCTAGAGCAGTTTTTTAAAATAAGCAGCTACTTCAGTTACTGTAGCATAAAGCACCCAGTGATTGCTTGTGCCACCTAAATGTGATTGGGTTCAACTTGCATAGTGTTTTTTATCTGGTTAATTGTAAATATATTTCCTTTTTTTCCTAAAGTGCTTGCATGTGTGAATCCCAAAGTACTCATACTGAAACTGCCTGCAATATTAATACTAAAAGCAAATATTTCCTTATAATTTATTTTACTTTCTTTTACAGTAGTAACATAGATGGTGCAATAGAAAACATTGAAAATATGCTTACTTCAGGGAACCAAACCATGGAACTTCAGTACTTTGGCTTGGCATACTTATTCCGAAAAGTCATAGAGGAACGGTTGGAACCAGCACTTGAAAAGAGTAAGTTAGCTGTTCTAGCCAAAGAGCACAGAAGCACTTTTTCTCTCTAGTGAGTCTGGACTGACTTTCTTTGGTGGATGAGTTAGTTATACCACTGTTTAAATGAAAGATTTTTCTTACCTGTCATTTTTTTCAGTAAGCATCATGGCGGAGAGATTGGCCAATCAGTTTGCAATTTACAAACCTGTCACCGATCTTTTCCTTCAGCTTGTGGATGCAGGCAAGGTGGATGATGCCAGAGCTCTCCTACAGGTAATGACCCACCACACATGGAGCAGTGGGGCTTGTGGCTTGTGAGAAGTCAGTTAAGAAATTACTAGACTTAGGTGTGTGGTAGAATACCGGAAATGAAGTGTGGTGCTGCCTGCACATTTAAATTTGAACGTGAATCAAGGTTACATGACCGGGACTGGATTGTAAGTTACAGGTTGCTGGTTTTAAAGATGCCAAATCAGACTAGAAATGTCTTTAGATTTAAGTGGGGGTGGGGGAAGACATGTTTTGCCAAAATGATTTAAAGACAAATGTTTCTGTGCAGATAGGTAATGCAAAACAATTCCTTTGATTTCCTAGTTTAATTTCTCTAACGCTGCTCTATAAATACTGTGCATCACCATGGCAACACAGTTTGCAAACAAAAAGTAGGAAATGTTTGCTTTTCAAGTACAGCTTCTCTTGAATACTCAAACATTCTCAGTGCCTTATTCAAGATTTATTAAGAATTTGCTTTCTATTCACTTGTGTGTCACAGACACATTAAATGACAAATGCAGGTCTCTGTGGCCCGCACTCTCTGTTAAATTAGCAATCTTCAGGGAAGGAGACAACTGCATTCATGCCATTTTAACAGCACTAAATATAAAGCAGCGCGCCACCAGTGGGTGATCGTAGCTGCCACTGTTAATGTACACAAACAGGCACCGCCGGGGAGCCCCTTCCCAGCAGGTGGCAGTCAAACAGTCACCGTGATCCCGCCAACGGCTGTGTTTGTATAGACTCCCTGTGTCAAATTGAGGCCTGGGACCAATTTCTGGTAGTAAATAGTATTATATTCACTTAACGTTTTTGCAAGCTGCAGCACCTCTTAAGTAGTAGATAGGGAAGGTAAAACTGTACTCATTTGCTGGAACTCTGCTTTTGATCCTTAAAGTTCATCTAGTTTGACAGTAGAATCCAAGTCATTTTTAAAAGGAATTCCTGAGAAATTTCTCTGTGTTAACATTTTTGTAAAACGTGTAAATTGGCACTGCCTCTAAGGCTTTTTTACTTTTGTTCCTGGAAAGAGAGAAATGCTAGTTAGTTGAGAATTTTCTTGATTGGTTTGGTATGTTTACCTTTTTTTTTCCTTAAAAAAATTTTTTGTTTTAAACAGAAAAGGCAATTTATGATGGGGATTTCAGGAATCTTTTCATTGTTTTGTTGCCTTTAGTATTACAAGTTTTATCTTGAAAAGAATAAATTCTAATGCTTTATGTTTGTGTGTACATACCTAAGTGTACCCACTCAGGGTATATGCATGTCTAGCTGGACGTGTGATAGTATTCATTCAGCTTTAACACATCATTGTGATAGCTCCTTAGGAAGTCACACTTGATATTTCATTTACCAGCTTGTTGATCAAGGCTCTTCCTAGCGAGCAGTCCAGAGTGGGAGACAGTGGGGATGTGGCAGCCGCCTTCAGAGCTGCATGTACCCACAGTGGCCTGTCTAGGGCTCTTGGCAACAGCCGAGCGTTGCTGCAACAGCTGTCTTTTCATTTTTATCCCTTCAGTAGACTGAGGTTTCAGATGATAAACCCTTTACCCATTCTTTACCTGCTTGTCAAACAGTAAAAGATTATTCTTGCTGTAGTGAAGAATACTTTATTCACAGATGTCGAAAGCATCAGTTTATAGTGTAAATGTTCTGTGTGTCCCCAAAAGTTCTTTTTATACTAGTCATTTTAGTATTGACAGTGTTTTAAAGCTTTGAAAGAGCAATGTGCTTTTAGAAACTTAAGAGAATGACATCTGTGATGAGTGTAAACTAAAATAATGTCTTGCCATATTTGATTTTACTATAGCATCTAAGATGGGATAGACACTTGATTTATCTGGTCTGTCATATAAACTTTTTTTTTTTTTTTTGAGTTTAACTTTTGTCTCTTTCTCAAGCACTGGCTGTCTATCGCAATGAAAGCCTTTTATAAAATAGAGAGATTGAAATCAGTCCTTTTGTATGCGTAAGTGTAGGTAATTATACTTTAAAGAGAACTTGCTTTGTACATTTTAATTTTTATAAAGAAACGAGCAGTTATCTCCCTGACACCTTATTAAATGTATAATTAACCTTATGATCCCTAGCTCACTTGTGAATGCTTGGCAGTATAATTGGAGGGGAATAGTGTTTCTTTTTTCCCTCTTTCTTTGCAGTCCTAAACCTCATTCTGTGGTTGTGGAAGCGTTGGTTGAATTTTTCCCTTTGCTTTTTAAACAGACCTTACACTTGCAGCGCCAAGGACAACATGCATGAAAGCCTGGCCTAGCTTGCACTTGGTTTTCTTTTTTCTTGCCTTAAAAAACATTGGTCGACTGTTAGACCTTCCTGTTGGTAATGATACATTACTGTATTATTGTGAACTTTCTTAACTGGAAATATTCACCTTGGTCTACTTGTTTATCAAAAACCTTCACTTACCAAATAATGTTTCAATTTTTAGAGATGTGGTGCAATTGCTGAACAAACCCCAATTTTCTTGGTGTACTGTATTAGGAATTCTCGGAGATCGGGAAAGGTACGGTGCTATTGTACTTGCTGACAAATCAATAATGCTATGAGCTAGTCTTGTTCAGAGGTATTGAATATCATGTAAGAGCTTGTCAGTTCAGGACGTTTTCTAAAAATACTATAGAGATTGAACACTTGCTGGCCTGTGCTTGTTTACTTCTTTAGATGTTGATGCAGAGTCAGTTCTGGCTCCTTGGTTGTATTGGAAATGCAGAACAAGTTCATACAGTGAATTCTCTATCCTTGTAGTTATGCATTGAGCCCCAAGAAAGGGCCCTTAGAAATGTAAGAAACAAATCCCGTTGCTTGGGTCACTGGGTAAGTTTCACAGTGCAGAAGCACTGCTGAGGGAGACACCTACTGCAGAGTGTCTCCTGTCAGGTGGCTCAGGTAGAAACCATGAGGTAGATGAACCCGTTAGCTTTAAAACTGGTATGTGCCACGGATTCATGTTCAGTTTGTACAGTAACCTTATTTACACTAAAAGGTATGTGTGTATGTGTGAAACAGAACCAAGTCTTATTTTTGATGTTTAAAAAAAAAAGAATAAAAGCATATTTCAAAATTTTTTTTTTTAGATTTGATTTTTCATGGTGAGTGGGCACCAGAAACCCTGTTCTTAGTTTATTTGGGCATATTATGAAGTTTTAAACTGAGCACCAATTGTAATGTTTGTTTTATGTGAAACATTTAGGTTGTTTACAACTCTGGGAGGTCTAGTTTTCCTTAATTTTCACATACTTCCCCCATACATACACACACTTTAAAAAATAATTTACCTAATTGCACTTTTTATCTCTGACTCATGTATTTATTTACAACAAACATCATTTAGAAAATATTTAGTTGTCCTTTTTTTTCCTTTCAAAGAGACTGTATAAAATGGTGTAGTATTTGCAGATAACCTACCACACATCACCTGTATACTTTAAATAATCTCTAGATTACTTATAATACCCAATACAATGTGAATGCTATGTAAGTATTTGGTGGTACACAGCAAATTCAATGTTTACTTTTTTGGACTTTCTGGATTTTTTTTTTTTGGTCCGTGGTTGGTTGAATCTACAGATTCAGAACCCACTGGATACAGGGGGCCGAGTGTACTAAGATATACAAAAGGGAAAATAGTCCATTAAATTGAATAGGCAGTTCTGTTGCTGTTGTCAGGTTTTTTTGGTATAATGTCCATATATCAGTGTTTTATTTCACTGTTCTTTTGAGTCATGGTAATGTTACCTATATTTAATTTTCTAGGCACCAACTGTGAAGTCTTTGTTAGAATTGATTCCTGAATTAACTGAAAAGGAAGAAGCATACACTTCCATCATGAAAAGCTATGGTAATAAGTTTAATCTGACTTCATTATTTAAGTGATTTAAATATTTGTAGTATAGTCAACTAAGTCTTCAGCTCAAAGGCAGTAATCCTAAATATCAGATAATTGCTTATGGTACAAAATTTATTTAGCCTTAGGATATGTTTTAAAATTGTATTTAAGAAAAATATGAAATTATTCATGTAGTGTTAACATAAAGTATCTCTGAGCATCTTTTGAGGGGCCCTGATTTGTTGAGTAAGATCCCAGGTTCCTGGAAGGACTTAGAAGTCCACTTGGCTGTACACATTGGGAACCAATCCAGTCTCTCTAAGATGTTACGGAAAAACCTGTATGAACTTTTTGACCAACCTAATACAATGTAAAATGGGTACATATTTGAGACTGCCACTTGACTTGCCTGTTTACTCCTTCAGTGGTCTACCTACTCCTTTGAAATAACAATCACCTTAATTGAAAAGTGAGCCCCAAGGTTTTACCTGCAGTCACAACTGAAATTCTAGTCTTTTAAGCAGTTTCCTCCCTGATCGCCAGGCAATCACACATGAAAGGGAACCAGTCTAAAGTTTCCTCAGTAATCAAGATAAATGTTAGCATTTGTAAATTATGATCACCTGTCCATCTGACACCCACTGATTTGCTCACTTTTTAATGGGTAAGTAAAGAGTTGCTTTGTCGATTTTATTGTTGGCAGGACACCAGACTGAGCAATCAGAATTCTCCATTTTTCTACCCTTATGAGTGGAACATGATATATTTCAAAATAGTGCTATAATCATAAAGTTTCATTTGAGGAATTGGCAGACATTGAGTAATAACTAAGATGAAGTAGTGTAAAACAGCATAAAATTACTATTAAATTGTGTAATCCCACTTGGGAATTGGGAGGGAGAAGAGCAGGGAGATCAGGAAGTTTTAGTAAAAGGGAAGATATTAAAATTTTTGCAAATCAGCCACAAGTAGAAAGCCAGCTGAAGTTAGCTCCTAGGCTACTTCATCATCCAGTTAAGTGAAGTATTAGTGTAACTTGTATAGATGTATGTAGATTTTTTAATGTATATTAATAATGTATATAAAATTTTTTTTGGTCATTGTAGCTAACTGTATTCCTCATTTGCTTATTTTAGGATAGGAGAATATATTGAAAGTCTTTTTTTTTTTAACATCTTTATTGGAGTATAACTGCTTTACAATGGTGTGTTAGTTTCTGCTTTATAACAAAGTGAATCAGTTATACATATACATATGTTCCCATATCTCTTCCCTCTTGCGTGTCCCTCCCTCCCACCCTCCCTTATTGAAAGTCTTTTGGTGGTGTTTAGCTGCTGATCTTGATGTTGATGTAGATACAGACTTCCACATAATTTATTTTACACACTCCTCACCACAGAAGTCCCTGGATTAGCTTAATTTCAAAGTGTGGTTTTAAGCAGAAAAAGATTGAATGGTGTATGCTTACTTTATGATTGAAGACTTCAGTTTGTGGTCACTTTAACTAGCATGGGTCTTTAAAATAACTATTTGTCATTTTCCTTCTCTTTCATAGCGGGTGATGCTGAATGAGAGGTGTGGGGAAGGAAGGGCGGAGCTTGTAGATTATGAATGCTGAAGGTAGTTAAGTATTCCTTTGCTTTGGGATAAAGGGATCCAGGAGTCCCTGAATGGCTAAGTGTTTTGGGAAAAGAAGAAGATAAATTGGCTTTATCTGTGATTAATATCTTTTTCTCTAGTCTTGGACAGTGATGTCGCATCTGCTAAAGCACTATATGAAAATTTGACTGCGAAGGATGTAAAATTGAATGATCTGTTTCTAAAGCGTTATGCAGTTTTGCTGAAGAATGCTGGAGAGTCTGTCCCTTTCACTGAACCCCCTGTGAGTATTTCTTAATTAAGAGGGAAAAAAAATACCTCTAAAGATTTGTGTGTGCTTCATAATAATGTGTAAAGAATAAGTTGAATACTTAATTACATGAGGATTAGATCTCTGTGAAGGATCCTCCAGAGAGGGCTTTGGGAACTGAACAGTCATGCCATGGGTTTGGCTGCAGGAGAACGTAGCCCTCTGGGGCTGAGGTTTAAAATACAAGGTCAGTCTGAGACCTTCAACTGTAGGTATGAATTTATCAAATGTCCTTGGGGCAGTTCCCTCTTCATTTCAACTTGAAATAGGGTTTAATGGCCTGTATTTCAATAGCTAAGCATATTATGTCACTGTTAATTACTTGTTCATTTCCATTTTAAGTAAGTTGGGTTTTCTCTCTTTATCTAGGATTTTTTTAAATTGAAATATAATTGACAACATTGTATTAGTTACAGCTATACAACATAATAACTCAATATTTGTATATATAGCAGAATGATCACCACAATAAGCCCAGTTAACATCTGCCACCATACATAGTCACAAAAGAAAAATTTTTTTCTTGTGATGAAAACTTTCAAGATCTGCTCTCCCAGCTGTTTTCAAATATGCAATCCAGTATTAACCATAGTCACTGTGCTGTACATTGTATCCCCTTGAGTTACCCATTGTATAACTGGAAATTTGTGCTGTTTGAACCTCTTTACCCATCTTCCTCCTCCTCAAACCTGCCTCCACCAGCCTCAGGCAACCACTGATCTGTTCTCTGTATCCATGAGCTCGGTTCTGTTTGTTTGTGTTTTTCAGATTCCAGATATAAATGAAATCATACAGTGTTTATCTTTTTCTGTCTGACATATTTCACTTAGCATAATACCATCAAGGTCCATCCATGTTGCAGATGACAAGATTTCATTCTTTTTATGGCTGGATAATATTCCTGTGTGTGTGTGTGAGTGTGTGACATTTTCTTTATCCTTCATCCATTGATGGACACTTAGATTGTTTCCATGTCTTGGCTATTGTAAATGCTGCAGTGAACCTGAGGGAGCATATATCTTTTTTGAATTAGTGTTTTCATTTTCTTTGGATGAATACCCAAAAGTGGAATTGCTAGATCATATGTTAGTTTTATTTTTAATTTTTCGAGGAACCTCCATACTGTTCTCTGTAGTGGCTGCACCATTTACATTCCCACCAACAGTGCACAAGGGCTCCTTTTTCTCCAAATCTTCGCTAACATTTGTTATTCCTAGTCTTTTTGATAATAGATATTCTAACAGGTGTGAAGTGATATCTCACTGTGTTTTTTAATTGTATTTCCCTGATTATCAGTGATGTTGAGCAACTTTTCGTGTACTAGTTGGCCATCTGTAGTTCTTCTTTGGCCACATGTCTGTTCAGTTCCCCTGTTGCTATTGAGTTATATAAATTCTTTGTATATTTTGACTATTAACCCCATATCAGCTATATATGTTTACAAATATTTTCTCCCATTCAGTAGGTTGCCTAGGAAATTTTGTTTTATTTACTTTGCTTTGTTTAATAAGAAATCATGAGTGCAAAATTCCTTTTTATTGTTTCATTGAACTGAAAGTCACCTAAAACATGTTTATTTCAAACCCCTCAACCTTCCATACCCAAGTGTAAATACCTGCATGCACTTGCCCATGCACACACACAGCAGAGGCTCCTGGTGCCTTAATTCTCAGTTGGGGGCCCTTGAACTGGTGATTTCATGAAATAGAGAAGAGTGCTGAAGCTTGAGGAGACTGCAGCCGCTGTGGGCCCAGCAGTCTTTGCTACCAGTTTGCAGTACTTTATGTTTTTAAGTTTTGTACCATCACCTCTTGCTGGTAACTTTTTTTTTTTTTTTTTTTTTTTTTTGCGGTACGCGGGCCTCTCACTGCTGTGGCCTCTCCCGTAGCAGAGCACAGGCTCCAGACGCGCAGGCCATGGCCCACGGGTCCAGCCGCTCTGCGGCATGTGGGATCCTCCCGGACTGGGGCACAAACCCGTGTCCCCTGCATCGGCAGGCGGACTCTCAACCACTGCACCACCAGGGTAGCCCCGCTGGTAACTTTTATCTGTAACTTTCCTCCCTTTATTTTTCCTCTACAGGAAAGCTTTGAATTTTATGCAAAGCAGCTAAAAGAGTCAAAGGAAAACCCTTTGTGAAGCAAGCCGGCACTACTTTGTTTTGTGTGTATTTGTGATTCTGTGTCTAAATTGTTACTTTTTAAATGTATTTGAGAGGACAAAATAAACAAATGAAAAGTTACTTTGTTTATGTACTTTTATTTATTCGTAATATATGATAATATTTAACATCTTATTGACAATAACTGTGTATACTAAGTCACTAGACTTCTTTGGGTTTTGCCTACAATATAAATCAATGGCATTTTCCTTGAGGCTCCTGGTGTAAGAAGCCATAGTTTTTCAGGGTTCTTCTCCCATTTGACTTTTCAGATTCCTGGCTCTATTTCATTTATTATTTTCATAAAAAGATTGTTCCTTTAGTTAAGACTTGCTTGTCAATATTGTTTATCTGAAAAATTTTGGAGCTGGACAAAATGATGCTTAGTGGGCTTTCTAATGCTTAATATTCTGTGAAGTAACAATTCTTTATTAGTGTAAAGCCCTGCGTACTTTTCCAGTTTTGTAAAATGTTGGCGCCAGAAGGCATCTCAGGAGTCATCAAATCCAGCACTCTTCATTTCCCAGTGAGAAGCTAAGACCCAAAGAGACTTGTTTGGTCAGGGTGCTCCCTCCATGCCTTCCCTTCTACCACGGAGGCTCCCACAAACCTCTGTTCACTGAAGTCTCCAAAACTGCATCTGAGTGTGAGTTTGATCATGAAGTAAGAGCAATGCATTTCCTTCATCTTGGTTTCAGGTCTTCATCAGCACAAGCTACACCCTACACTGGACTTGTTACTTCATACTGCATATCAATGAATATGTGAGTAAGTATATGAAGGAGTGAAACCTCTGTATTCAGTTTTATCAAAGTTATCCTCAAATTGGCCTTCATGCCTGTTAATATCTATACTGTAAATAGTTACTATAAAAGAATTTAAGATAGGTAGTCAAGACAGTTTACCATCTTAATATAATGTTAATCTATTTGGGGATTATATTATTTAAAAAGTTGAAAATGCTTTGTGTGAGAGTTATCCCCACTTTGGTGTATCCCTTGTTCATTTGAAATTGGTGATTAGCTACTGTTTTGGTTTCAGTGAGGTTACTTGGTTCCCACCATTTACGTGAAGGGAGACCTTGCCTTGGGGAGTAAGCCAGCCTCACACTGTTTATGCTGCTAACCTGTGTCTTATGGGATCAACCATTCTGCATCTACAGCCTGCAGATGGCGTGAGAGGGAGGGTAGATGGAGGGAAGCCAAAAAATAAATGTCATCGTGGCATCAACCATGCTTCATCTCTGTTTTGTAGAGTTAGACCTAAGGAATCGGGCTCGGCCAGTGCCGAGTCCCAGCCTAGAGGACTTAGTAAAGCTTTCCTCTGTGTACTCCTCAGGTGCAGGACCTGTACGTGTTGTTTTGACACTACTGATTTGCCATGAGCCTCACTCTATTAGGGATTCCACTGAAGCAGGTTTATATTTTGTAGTTATGCCAACCATAAGATAGTTGAGCTAAATTTTATTGATAGTCATTGAATTAGGTCTCTAAGATGAGGAACGACCTTGGGGCATAAACTGGACCTCCCAGTTATCTTTAGGGAAGCTCAGAGTACAATCTCATTTGCATGAAGTGACTCCAAGCCAGCCTTGTATATGGACTCTGGTAAAATGTGGGTCTAGTGCAGAGGAAATAGATATAAATCCCTCGATGAGCTTTCTACTGCTTAATAACATTTCTAGCATTCTGAACAGCAGGCTGGACCATTCAATATATTACATATATTAAAGAACTATCAAGTCATGCATCTGTAGCACTGTATTGGCTTCCTGTTTTGAATGTAAATATTTAACATGTAATCATTGTATATTCTAGGTGAGCTTATGAATGCTTTCTAAATATCTAATAGCAAAATTGAAATAAATAGAAATATAAACACAATTATAGCAGCACTCAATGGTACCTTTTAGATTCAAATTATAAGCAAACAGCTAATTCTAAAAAGTAAATGTCATAAACTTTGGGAAAGTATAGTGTTTTATATGTAATTGTATGTTCGTGTATTTAAACCTAATATAATTTTAATGTGAAATGCTTTGAATAAATTGTATTCCAGCAACCTGTGGGCTTCTTCATTTTTATCTTATTATGTTTTTATATAACCACTTTAAGCCATTTCAAGGACTTGAGTCTTAAAATTTTTAATTAAAAATTGTGTGGTGGCCTCTCTTGTGGCCGGAATTTCCTTGTTTTAAATGGTGTACAGGTTGTGAGTGGGGAACCAGGGAAGTCACTGCTTATCTGCTTTAAGGACAAACAGATATTCAGTCTGAGATCTCTGAGGTACAAAGTTGGCAAGAATTAGAGTTGGGTGTGTGGTGAATGACACTTACAACAGAGGGGGTTTTATCTTGCTCTAAGTGTCAGACAGAGGGAGCATTTTACAGCTGCACGGATGACTGGGCTCCACTCCACCAGGGCTGTCTTCAGCACACTCCCCTCTTCCTCCTGTTCCTCGCTTGCGAATGCTCACTGAGGCCGCTTCAGTGTCCCCTCTCCCACCAGGAATATTAATTGTTCTCTCTCCAGGGCCCCCCTGAAGCCACTTGAAAACGCAGCAGGTACCGACCACACAGGTTGTAAACTCACTGAGGATCAGTTCTTTGTCTCCTGTCTCTGTGTCCCCAGCTTAGCACATGCATGAGTTGTCAGTGGTCAGTTCTGTGGGTTCTGCCGTGTGTCAGGTGCCCCTCTTGCGTGATGTTCACAGTGAGGAAACTTAGGGAAGTTAATTTGCACAGAATCACAGCGATAATATCACATGGCCAGGACTTTGAGAGTCATGTACTTACTCTGAGGTTACAAAAAACCCGATGGAATCCAGCCTAAACTCAGTTAAAAATCCAGTTAATCCAATTGGAATCTCTAAACTATAGGAATATTTTTTTAAAACCTTTCACATTAATACAAGTGTTTGCAGTCTCTGGACAGCTAGCACTGTATTTTCTACCAGTTAATCAAAATACCCAGTGCCTGGCATAATTACTGAGTTTTCAAGTTCCAATAAATTATTAAGCGAGCTTTATATTGCAAATTGTGCTTCCCGGTACAATTTATTTCTCCAGTCTGTCTGCAGTGTGTGTGCTGTGCACATTTTTCTTCATGTCTTCGAGCAAACAATATTCATTTAGTATTTGCCTTTTTGAAAAACCAATATTTGTAGAGTTTCTGTAAGTGAAAGCAACATTCCTGAAGTATGGTCGAAATAGTAGCTGTAGGGGGTACAAAATCATGGTAACTTATCGCTTTGCTGTTGGACATCATGAGCTTGAGTTTCCAACAGAAACGTATCCTTTCAGGCTTGTGGACTCTACAAAGCCCACGTTATGCAGCCTTGGTACAAATAAGATAGCTGCATTAGCAAATTCAAAATAGGCACTTTTTTTTTTTTTTTGCATGAAATAAACATCATCAGGTCCAGGTAGAGCAAAAAACACTTAACCAACTTAAGATCTGCCACCTCTGCACATTCATTTGGACAACGGTTGGCTCTTGGGATCCATGTTTCAAGAGTTCACTAGAGAATAGATCTCACCAACCCTGCCCCCTGTGTGCACTTGCTGAGATTCTCTTAATTATTTACTTCTTTTTGTAGTTTCCTCCCCCAAGAACTTGAGCTCTCCCAGTGCTCTGCAGCCCCACCAGTTAGAACAGCCTGGCACTGGTAGGTGCCCAATAAGCATCACTGATTGAATCAGTGGGCACATCACCTGTCCCCCTTTCCAAGGCATGTTGTTTCTGAGACGTATGGTTTGTGTGCATTGGGGGGTTTCTTCCTCACACAAATTATAGGAGATAGAGGTGCCACTTTTTACCTCAGATCTAGGATACTGGGGTTGAGAGTTGAGAAGTCTTTCAAACCCTGTGTGCCCACATGTTAGCATTTCTGGATTTGCTGCCAGGAGGAAGAGGGCTCTCAAATGTGGGATGAAATCAGACAACTCAAGCTGAGTACAAGTACAGTGCAAGAGTGGAATCAGCAAAAACAAAGCTTAGTTTTTAACATGGGGCCATAGAGCTTTTTAGAGTTTGGGGGAAAAAGGAACATCTCCAATTTCACGAAAAGACAAGACCACCGCACGAACGGTAACTGTGAGGACTATTACATGAAAAGCTGCGAAGTGTTATCCATCCTTTGAATTGGTGTATTAAAATCTTAACCCACCGCTTAAAACATCATTGTTTTAACTGTTAAGCTGCTAACACCACATGCATGGCTGTTCCCGGGCCGCCACCAGAAAATGGGCTGTGCTCCATCTGCCTACCTCCGCCCAGGCTGTCTCAGGCAGACCATGGAATAAAAACAGGATATTGCTCTATCGCCTGGCCACTTTAGAAGAACCAATCATTTTATCAAAAACAAATGACAGATGAGATTTGAATTACCTAGTTTAGACTATTTGCAAATAAGGATGCCTTCTTTCAGGCACGAGCATGGGATGTGTTTTCCAAATAAGCACAGATCCACCAGTAAGATGCTTCCTCACTCCTGCATCCTAGCATCCCATTCCCTCGCTCTCTTCCTCAGAGTCTGCTCGGTGCTCCAGATCCATGACTGGACCCAAAGGAGAGTGGCTCAGGGCAGCTGTGCTAAACTCTGCCAAGTGACTAATGTGCATCTCAGTAGAAACCCCTATAGCCCCAGGTCTGTAGTTAACACTTGGATTGGTGTAGCTTTAAATAGCACTGCTGCTAGCTGTTTCATCTGGGATCAAAACAAGAGAGTGGAAGAAAAGAAGAAAACAAATGCAAGATCTACTTCTGTGAGCCTGACCAGGGAGATCAGCTTGACCAAGGGCATGATTGTGTCTTAAATAATCTTTATAGGAACGGAAGCCGTTTAAAAAAATCACCTCAGGAAATATTCGAGTTAATATAGGTAATTATTTTCTGCTTAATTAAAATTTCCCCGTCAGCACAACTTGCAATTGGAGGGCTTAAAATGCCAATTTCAAAACCTTTACCTGTTGACCAAGGGCCTGCAAACTACAGCCTCGGGCCAAGTCCAGCATGCTCCCTGTTTTCATAAATAATGTTTCACTGGGACACAGCCACACCACCCATACTTCAGAGTTGTGT